AAATTGACTATTAAAATTTTATTTTATTTAGTTTTTAAAATTTGTATAAGTACCAAACACAGAAAATTTATCTCCTTTTCTCATGTATGAAACATATTCCATGTTTGAAAACTGATCATGCAATTGACAATTAACTTTTAAATAAATTCCCAAAATTAGAATATGTAAACACCATYGCCCATGATAGAAAACTATACAAACACTTTTAAACTAAAAAAAATCTCAAAAGAGCTGAAACCAATTAAAAAGGTAAAACTGAAATGACAAAGTATTTAAACATTAACAAAATTACACCCATTGTTACACTAAAAATGGTATTCATTTTAAAATGTTAATATTGACAAAAACAGACACTGGAAATAGATGTACTGGACATTTAATTAAAGAAGATAGAAGATATATACTAAAATGAAACAATAATTAAAATGAAAGTATACATGAACAAAAAAGGAAACTTGAATTATGCTTAAAAAAAAGGCTAGTTCCTCAGAGAGTAAAAACCTAGTAAAATAGAAAACTCCTTATATCCTGAAAATATAACATTTTTATCATTGCAGCCTGAATGCAAATAAATGACCACAAAATTGGAGTAAATTGACAAGATCATTAAAATTTTATACTTTTTTTTTCAATGTTAAATATCTATGAGTGGGTAAAAAGCACACTGAGAACAATAAAWGGTACATATAGATGGCATTAAAGTAGACCTGATACATAGAATGAAACTTGAGGAATGTCAGAATATTGCAATGTCTGTTTTCCCAGAACAAATCTCTCTTAAATTAAAACCCACATTTGTCAATCATTGTGGAACTAAACTATATTGTAAAAAGTTGACAGAAAAATTTGCCTTATCTGGGGCTTATGCTGTGGCTCAGTGGTGAGACTCTGAGTTCAATGTTCAGCACCACATAAAAATAAATAAGTAAAATAAATTCMTGTCCAACTATGAAAATTTAGCATACCAATATATAGGCTTCAAAACAGTAGAGGTACTCAAGTGAATGCTTTAATAAATTGTTTTGGGCCAATCAGCAAACTCCTTAGACAAGTATAAGGCAATGTTCATCTCTCATAAGCAGTATCAGATGTAATTTATAATCATAAGAAGTTTAAAAATAGCCAGGCTCCATGTCCCACGCCAGCAATCCCAGCTACTCTGGAGGCAAAGACATGAGGATCATGAGTTCAGAGCCAGCCTCAGCAAAAGAGAGGTGCTAAGTTATTCAGTATAGCCCTGTTTCTAAATAAAATACAAAATAGGGCTGGGGATGTGGCTCAGTGGTTGAGTGACCCTGAGTTCAATTCCTGGTTACCACCCCACCCCTCTCACCCCACCAACAAAGAGGTTGAATGTACTGTTAGTTAGAAAAAAAGACGAAGGGCATTTACATAATCTTTGTTGTAGTTTTGTGTTTTCTTAGTAAAGCACCAGAACCAGAAATCATGAAAGAAGTATTAACAGTTGGGTTACATAAGGTTAAAAGTTTTCAACAATTTATTTAAAAAGTCTTTCCTTTATAAAGGGAAAGATTTTGCCACAAATAAATTTCCCACAAAACAGTAAATAAGACAACCTGGAAAAAATATTTAAGACCAATAAAAATATAAAAAGATAATCTTATTAAAATTCAAAAAGAGTTAAATTCCCTCAAAGAGAGATTACTTTCTTACCTAGCATCTTAGGCAAATTTGATAATTCCCATTATTAGTAAGCATATGAGGACAGAGGCACGGTTATTTGATGAAGTATAATTCATATATTATAAAAAGCAAGTAGGTAATCCATGGCAACACTTTAAATATTAGATATTTTAATCTGAAAACTTCACATTAATTGAAACATGGCATGAGAATTAGAGTGCAAGCCTTTATAGGAATGTTTATTACAGCACAAAACATCCATTGGCTGACACTTACCTGTCCATCAAATACACATTAATTATTGCAAAGCCACACAATAAAATTCTATGAAACCATAAAAAGAATGGTTGAAAGAATTTTTGGTATATGATATAAAATTACATTGCAAATTATATCTACAGTTGCTTATTACAGGCATAGTTTTTAGGACTTTCATATACTTTTATTGAGGAAGGCAATGTCCTAAACATACAATGATTATAACATTTGGAAAACTGTGGTTTAGTGAGGTTGGGGAATCTACTTAAAGCACGTTATTTTGTTTGTGCAAAAAAAAAAAAAAAAAAGATTAAGCTCAAGGACGTACTTTAGCTTTTTTGTTCTTCAGACTTTTTGGAACTAAATAATATGGGAGGTGGGAAGCGAAGAGGCGAGGGGATGGCATTTTGATAAAGTCCAAATTGTGAGTATTGTATTCAAAGAAGGGAGCTCTATCTATTGTTTTGATATCTTCTGTTCTGTTACGATGCCCCTCAAAATAAATCAAGCTTAGTATCTGCTGAGTCCAGATGGTACCTGAAAAAATAAATCATCTTGTTTTCAGACTCAATTAGTCATTAAAAATTAAGTCAACAATAGTGTCATTCACCATAAAATCATTTGAGCTTTCTTTTCTTTTAGAAGCTCTAAGTATGCTAACAAGTTTGTCCAATTTTCATTTTTTGTCTCTATGAAACATTAAAGTTAATAAAGATAAAATCAAAGACTCTAAATTCCTTTATTACTTGAAGAGCTATGTTTGTTCTGATTCCATGATACTGATGATTTGGATTAATTCTGCCTCTCCTTCTCTGTTYCCTGCTCCATGTTAGGTCCTTTTTAGTATTTTTAATGTTTTCCTTAACTTATAATAATAATTCTACATTTTGATGGGGTAGAGTGTGATATATCCACACATGCATACACCCTGTAATGATCACATGAGGGAAATTAGTATTTCCCTCTATATTTTGTGGGCTCCTCATTCTCCTTCCTGAGATTACTTTCTTAGAACTTTACCCTTTAGAATTAACAAAATTATAAGCGATTTCACTTTCTCCCCCTTTTCTCTTTACCACTTAAGGTGGTTGTGTAAACTATTTAAGCATTCAAGGATGTCAGGAATAGCAGGACCTGACATGAGCAAAGATATATATATATATATATATATATATATATATATATATATCACATTTTATTCACTTGTTTGGCCTAATCATGTATGACCAACTTCTTTGTGGTGTTCTGGGGAAACCACACAATAAATAAGCAAAACATTGTATGTAGAATCTTAATAACTACACTTTATCTCTTAGTCTGCATGGGGAACTATAAAAACTCAAACCAAGCCAAGTATCCTGCCCTGCTGAAGTAGAAGTCACTATTACATAAGGCTCATTAGTACTTGTTTAGCCCAACAGGATTGTGTTTTACCACTTCATTGTAATGATGGTCTTCACATATATCAAAATCATTTTTATTCTATTTTCTAGTAGAACTTACTGGTTGAAAACATTTTTGAGAATCTTCGGTGGAAATCAGCTGTCATGGAATACTTCTCAAGAAAATGAAACATCTTGGAAAATGAATAATTATGGAAGATAAGTCTTCCAACTCAGGAAGCATTTACAAATTAGAGAAAAGATGAATTTGGACTGTCTCAGGTCTGTCCAACAGACCAAGCCAACAGGTCAGCATTTACCCAGTACCTGCTCATGGCTCAGCATTTGGTTTATATTATATATACAGAATTGACAATATATCCATTGCAAATGAGCTTTGGTAGTATAGATTTGAGATTCATCTAACTTTTTTCTGATTCTTAATGGATATATAAATGTAGGTCAGGCTGTTGTTGATGTCTGAAAAACAGCACATTTACACACACACACACAAACACACACACACACACACACACACAAACACATACATATACCAAACTTAGGAAAAATCTACTGTCATGAGGCCACTCTTTACACTTACCAGATTTTGGATAGGTGATTATGAAGACATCATCATCTCTAATTTCAAAATCATCCACACTTTCTACTATATGAATTTTAACTAAAGACCTTTCAAAATTGTAGCCTTTAAATTCAAGTAAGTAYTCCTCTGTGTTGTCCATATTTTTTCACCTACAAGTGCAAACATAAAATTTCAAGTTATTTTAGAAGTGAATAATAGTTATTGAGTGGTCAATATATGCCTAGCACTATTGCAATGTCTGATGTGTATGAACATACTAATGACACTAACCACAGCACATATATGAA